CCCCGGAGGCCCCTCTACGGAGCAGGGCGGGGGGGGACAGCGAGGCCCGGGCGGCTGCAGCCTCCCGGGCCTCGGTTTGGAGCAGGGCGCGGGGGGGGAGAGGCAAGGGGGGGAAGGCAAGGGGGGGTGGAGGACACGGGGAAACAGCGGGATGGGGGGTACTTACCTCCTCCTGCTGCTTTCTCTGCCTCCCTCCCGCGAGTATCGCGGGTCCACCCCTTGTACAGTATAATTGTCTCTTCCATATGGCTGATTCTTATGCTGCCTAGCAGCCTTTGAAATAAACATACACTGTGAAACACTATTTCACTATTTCGAAGACCAGTGCTACACTTCTCTGGAAGACTTTTCCTGTGCTGTCTCCTTTTGCATGCAGTATTGGTGATAGTGCAGTGTGCTGGAACATTCATTTCAGGCTAGTTCCTAATATTACCATCTCCAAGGGATCACTAGAAAAGAGTAAGAGTCCAGTAACACCTTAAAAACTAACAAAATTTGTGGTAGGGTATGAGCTTTTCTGCATCACTGCTCACTTCTTCAGATACAGCTAGAATGTGAATCCATCTGTTCTATATATTGGAAAGTGATTTCAGATGTCAAATGATATTAGCAGGCAAATGACAATAGCAGATGTGATTGGGTTAGGTGTGATATGCAGAGAGGTAGTCTGCATGGAGAAATCAGCATTGGTAATGAGACAGAAAACCTAGCCCCCAATTCAGTCCAGGTTGATGCATTGTCTTGAGCTTCGTTATCAGTTGCAATTCAGCAGTCTCTCTTCCTAATCTCCCTTTGAAATTCCTTTGTAAGACAATTGCTACTTTTCTGTCAGCAACTGAGTGTCCTGGTAGGTTAAAATGTTCCCCCACTGGTTTTTGATGTTCCTGGGTCCACTGAAGGTGTTGCTAGGATCTATATGATATTGCTGGGTCCACTGATGGTACTCTCATATAGATCCTAGCAACACCATCAGTGGACCCAGCAACATCAGTCATACCATCTCAGGTTCCTACTCCTACTTATCCTCTAATGTGATTTATGCCATCACTTGTCAGCAATGCCCTTCCACACTCTACATTAAATGAACAGGTCATTCCCTTCAACAAAGAATGAGTGGACGTAAGTCTGACATTAGAAACCACAACATTAAAAAAACAGTGGGGGGACATTTTAACCTTCCAGGACATTCAGTTGCTGACCTAAAAGTAGCAGTTGTCTTACAAAAGAATTTCAAAGGGAGATTAGAAAGAGAGACTGCTGAATTGCAACTGATAATGAATCTCAATCCACCTGGATTGAATCAAGACTTAGGTTTCCTGTCTCATCACCAATGCTGATTTCTCCACATGTACTACCTCTCTACATATCACACCCATTGCAATCACACCTGGCATCTGAAATCACTCCACTTTCCAATATATAGGATTCACATTGTAGCTGTATCTGAAGAAGTGAGCAGTGACTCGCGAAAGCTCATAAACTGCCACAAACTTTGTTAGTCTTTAAGGAGCTAACGGGACTCTTACACTTTCTACTCCTACAGACAGACTAACACGGCTACCCATCTTGATCCATCTCCAAAGGATCACTGATGGTGAAGAAATTCTTTCTATCCAAGACTTATAAGATGTTCATATTTTCATTCTTATTTTATGTAATAAGCAAAAGGCTTGAGTGTACCTTGAACGAAAATTTACATGATGGTGGGAGACTGGACTTTACATGTGAATAAGGCAGACAAGCTTTGAAATACACCACCATATTCATTTGGGCCTGAATTTTGGAACCACTGAGTTCTGGCTGTCATTTGTGCCATATTTTCAAGAGCCTACTGCCCCAGGTGATCTGTGAAGAATTTTTGTATAACTACCAGGTGGATTTTTTTACTGTTTTATTTCCTAGTAAGACCTAAGCAGAGTTATAGCCGTCACAGCCCACTGACTTCCGTGGTCTTAGAAGGGTGTAATGCTGCTTAGGATGGCACTGGCAGAGACTCAGTGGAAGTTTTGATAGTGATTACAGCCTCGTTGAAGGAATCCCCTACACAATGTAACCAGACACATGGCTCCTGAACATTATCCCCATTGCCATCATGGCAAGCACAACATCTTGATCCCTTTAGATTCCTGAATTCATGACATGCTTAAAGAAAAGTTCTCAGGTTTGTCGCTGTTGGTAGTACAGGCAAGCTGATCCAAACCAAGATTGCCTTTTAACACATGGATATTGGCTCACACTGAGCAAGTAGACAATGGCTTCTGCATGGCTTGTGAGATTTTTAAATGTGATTTGAGACACTGGTTTGTTTCTTCTTGAATTGAGAAGTACTTCGAAAAAATATAAGTGAGATCTGGGGAGAGAGAAACAAAGGAAAGGCTTTGAGAGGAATTAGGAAGACTGGACTTGGCTCCTACCGCACCCATGTCTAGTTCTTCAGTGACTGTCCATTACAGCAGTATTCAGGCGGCACTAGAAGCCAATATTGAGCTGATATGTGCACATGTAGAATTGGCTTTAATATTGGCCTTGATATTCTCACATGTAGAACTTATTTTTCTCCATATTCTAACCACAGCCTGAGCCTCCTTGTCATGGGATTGTAACTGTTAAGTGTCCTAAATATCTCAGCGGACATTTATACCATGACAGAATATAAATCTAATCCTTTGACATAGTTTCACCACGCCTCAGTTGTGAGGGTTAGACTTCTAAGACGCTAAGTCAGGGCTGGCCCAAGGACTTTGGGTGCCCTAAGCAACCACGTCACCCCTCCCTGCCACTAAGGCACAGTGAGAAGCCACTGCCCACCTTCCTCGCCCACTGGCACCATGGCAAGATGGCAACAAGGAACACTGGCAAGACAGTGCCTACTCTGCTCAACCCCCCACATGAACTGTAGGGAGTCAGCTATGGGCAGGAAAGTGGGGGGACCACAGGGCTGGAAGACACCCCTCCACCGCTGATGCCCTAGGCAATTGTGTAAATGTGCCCTAGTGGCCAGCTGGCCCTGTGTTGAACGATTGTGTGAAGGCATCAGATTAATACATCTGGGATTAAACCTGCTAGGGTATAGCACAGACATAGCTCTGATTGAATTCCCTAAATATGAATTAATACAATTGGGAAAATACACCTTTTCAACCACTTTTCAATGACTAGTCATTTACTGATCTGTATTATGGGATCTTGGGAGCATTGATGCATGCAAGTGATCAGTTTGCATTAATAGTTGTAGAGCCTGGAGATGTTGTAGGATTTATTCCGATTGAATTAACATGCCCTTGTCACTGCACAAATCGTAGCGGTTGGGAAGGAGCAAGATAGCTGTGATAAAGGGATTGGCTGAGAGGACCGTAATTGCTTTTTTTTTGTTTTTGAAGAGCCAATAAGGGTGAATTTCTCTTCTGCATTTTGTGCCTGACACAATGAAAGGCTTGAGCTGCTTCTCCCCCTGCCCCGTGGGCCTACCAGGGCCTTTCAGTATATGGGTGGTTTAAGCATAAAGTTTGCTTGAAGTTCATTGACATGCCTCTTGTAATGTCTTCTGCTAGTTAATCCACTTCCTTGCGGGCCAGCAATTGTTCTCCATGGTCCCTGAGTTGATCCACAGCCTTCCACGGCTTGCTCTCCTTCTGCATTCTTTGGCAATTATATAGTTAATACTGTGTGTGATAAGCCATTCCTGTGAACTTCACTGCCATGATAAGCAAACCTTTCTCTATGAATCCAGCTTTGCAGGTGCCCCTGAGACTGAACAGGAGGAAAATTTCTGGTCTCAAGCACTGGAGGACTTGGAGACCTGTGGACAGTCAGGAATTCTGAGGGAATTAGAGGTAGAAGCAACCTTAATCCCGTCACACTATTCCAATATCTTTTCCAATTAACACACATTTTCCCTCTTCTTTTCTCCTGTTTTTTTTCTAAGTTTGCATTAATCACACAAATTCATTTTAAAGCTTTAACCCCCCCCCTTTCCACAGGACAAGGCTGACAGGCGTCTGTGTTTGAGAAACATGACTCTCTTGGTACCTACCCTTTATGTTTATATTTTTGGCTTGTGCAGCTGCCTTCCCTGATTCACATTCCCCTCCTAATCAAGCTATTTTCTTTCATGGAACTGCTGTTGAGATGATACCACTGTGTGTGCCTCAAAGCTGCACCTGTGCTACTGCTGGCTGCACCTGCTCGCAGGCTTATTTTGCCCTCGAAGCAGCATCTGCCATAGTCTTCCCAGCTGCTTTTAACAAGGACTTTCTTGGCATGTATCCCTTGCAACAGAACTGAATCGGAACTGAGAAGAACATAAAAGAAAAACAAATTCTAAACGTTTTCAAAGTTGGATTTACCCGACGAACCAAAATAACCAGGAAAGACAGACATTTATTTTGCCCCTGTTGCAAGGAACCTGATGTTAGTTTATGAATTCTGCATGAACTTCATCCAGATTTCCTTTAAAAGAAAAAAACAACAAAGTAATGAGACAGCCATCTGTTTACAGTTGCTTGTATGTTCCTTGATCATAGCAAATATATATTATTAAGCAGTATTAATGCTTGAATGGGTGAGTCCTCCAGAACTGTCTTTTATGTTCTTCAAAATTCCCTGTGTTGCAATACTGGCAGAGTCTCATTTCATTTTTATGTCATATCGAAATCCCTGAGCAGCCACAAGGAATGTGAATGGCATAACTAGGTAAGACTCATGCAGTTCCAGTGGTTTGCGTAGCCTCAGATTTATGGCTTTTGTCTTGCATGTATTGTTTACTTTCATGTTGATCTGAAGTATGTTTAATTGCAATCCAGAGGAACGTAAGCAAAAATATTGTGTCAGTTTGATTGATTTTTGTCAAAGGCATGGTACTTCAAGCTTCTCTTACAGATTTCCTTGCTGAGTGCACAGCAAATGGGTATGGAAATAGATAAACAAGAATGAACAGTTTAGTAAGTTGCTACTTCCAAGTTTGAAGGAAGGCCTAAAGCTCTTAAAATGAAACACATTAATTGAGCAGTTACTAGTATAATTATACTTTGCTGTCTTGTCAGCACCTCTGTGATCAGGCACCCGCTGTGCAACTTACATTTACACACGAGGACTTGTTTTTCAGTCAGTCTAACCTTGCTGCACTCCTCTCAAAGCACAGGTCTCTTTTGTCAGCTAGCAACAACCTTGTTTCATTTCACAACAATAAGGAGATAAGATTATTGATCAAGCCATGCATCAGTTCTCAGAAAAAGAAATCGGGGAAGGATTCCAAAATGCATGTCTGTATCTTTAATTCTAAATGAGCTGAAGAATTGGTAGCAAGTGCTCATCTCCTTGCAAAATGTACATACTTTGTTTTTATACAGTGTCCAGCATTCAAAGTACTTGCCATGCATTATCGCGGTAATCTTTTCAACAGGTAGACCAGGTTCATTCTTTGCGTAATGCAGATTAGGGAGTGAGGCAGAGAAAGTGTGTGATGCCTAAACCCTCTTAATGAACTTTTGGCTAAGATAACATTTAAACTAACAGCCTCCCTTATTATAGCTCAGGCTGTTAGCCACAGTGCTACACCAGCTCTGGAGGCTAAAGCTGAGAGAGCATTTATAGGGTTAGATCAAGCCAGTTTTTTACTCAGCCATGCTCAGTTACTCAGCTGTGTCACACATGGGTTTTGTCCAGGCAGATTCCTGACTCCCTTCTTTGCAGCACCCCTCCCATCTTCTGTTTCAGTTGCAAGGGCTCAGGGATCTCCTTTCCTTTCCTACTTGTATCGGATGAAGGGAGCTCATACCCTGAAAATCTTATTGGCATCTAAGGTACTACTAGACTCGAATCTAGTTCTTCTGCTGCAGACCAACACAGGCCCCAGTCACATGGAGAATTTGCCACACAAAAGGCACGAATGTCGGGCGGATTTTCGGGGTGTGATCACACCACAACATCTGGGAAGCGTAGCGCACCCGTGGCCATCCTGTGGCGTCCCGCCAAAGATGCAGAGTTAAAAAGTACCAAGGAAAGTGCACTAGTATCCGGAAAATGCGCAGCACAGGCGGACATCTGATCGCGGGAGCGCTAGTATCCCGTGGCACCCGGCGCCCGTCCACATCCCGTCGCACACCGGATGTTTTTCATAAGTGCATGCACACAAACACAAAACTGAAAGCAGCGCTGCTCCATGGAACTGCGCATGCACACAAACGCAAAACACTTGTGTGATTGCACCACACCGCTTCTTTGCCATGCTGCAGCATTGCCGTGTGATCGCCAGCTAACAGCCTAAGCACGGAGACTCGGGGAACCGTGTGATCGGCCTACTGCGCTTTATTTTGCTCCGGGGCGAACAGCCCGTGTGATTGGCCCATGTGACCGGGGCCACAGTTACCCTCCTGAAACAACCAGTGCCACATATCACTCAAGAGAGCAGGGAAGAACAAAGGACAGTTTTCTGTCTATGAATAGGCATATTCATATTCCAAATGAGGAAACAACATCCTTCATTCTAACTTGTTGCCTGCCTTTTGTGTACCACATGCCACTAAGAATGTTTGCAAAGTTAACATTCAGATTTTAGCAAAGGCTTCTTCAGCACAAATAGTGGTGATGTGGATGATACTTTGAAGAAAAGTCAGAAACCAAAGTATTTTTGTATTTTCATAATTAATGTGACTGGTCTTCTGTTGCATAGCTGTAGGTAAAGTGATTTGGGATATAATGCTTGTGTCATGTTAAGTTCCCAAAGAATTTTTGAAGCGGTACAGCTTTTCCTATTCCTTTTCCAGTATGGAGTATTGATACCTTGTTCTCTTCCTTTATCAAGACTTGAGTGTTCTGCTTCTGCTCTCTTCCTACAAAGAGACAGTTCTTCTCTGTATGGCCAGTTCTTCATCTAAGCCTGCTAATCACATATAAGAGGAAGCCCTCCCAGTCCCAAACACCGTCTTTTACAAACCTTTCTGAGCTATTCCATTATCCATTGATTACTTACATGAGTTCCTGTTCTTACAGCATAACGTCTTATTTCAGAGAAAGTAACCTTGAGAACACTTCACAATAAAAAAAATAGGGCACAATTAGATGTTGCGTTGTCCCCAGGTTCACCCCAGGGACATATCTCCATTATGTTGTGCCAGAAAGTAGTTTAAAGAGTTCTGCAGGGAGGGCCGATTCTGTAGCATGGCGGAGTTTCAGGTCAGAAATCTAGCATGGGGTATAGCCCAGGCAAGCCTGATCTCATCGGATCTCAGAAGCTAAGCAGGGCTGACTCTGGCAAGTGTATTTGGATGGGAGACCTCCAGGGAATACCAGGGCCAGGATGCCAGAGGCAGGCTATCAAGCCACTTCTCTGAATGTCCTCTGTGTCCCAGTAGGAGTCATCAGAGGTCGCCATGACTTCCAGGCACGCACGCACACACACATAAATGCAAAAATACGCCCCCAAAAGAAATCTGGCATGGGGGGAAGACAGGAGCCCCTCCTCTCCCCTGCCAAAATTGGGGCCCTGTGGTGCTTTTGAACAGTTTTCCGGCTGTTTAAAAATGGAGGTGCATCCTGGGGGAGGGGGCCAACCTGGCGACGACGCCACATCTAGTTTTGTCATTATTATTTTTTTATTTTTTATTAAATTTATACCCCGCCCTCCCCACAAGGGCTCAGGGCGGCTTACAGATAGGGCACTTTGTGCCAATAAAAACAGAATAGAACACAATAAAACAAGATCATTAACAAGTGCTCTAAGATGTTACACTAAGCAAAAAGATGGTATTCAGCTGATGATGTTCAGATGATATTGTCTATATCCCAGAACAACCGTACTGGTCCTCCGCGCCGCTACAGTATGATCTTCCTGGGCCGTTCGTTCCCAGTTGTTTAAGGGATCGTTGGCAGAAGTGGCAGTTCCCTGGCTACATGTTACATATAAGTAAATGTAGTTAGACCCCGGCAGATTTGTTAAAAGATAGAGCAATGCCTATTTGTTTCATGAAGTACTGAATGTTCTAATATTTTGCAAGCTGCTTCTGCAGCCTAATTTTTCTACTCAAGATTTTTCCCCCCTCAGCTTTGCATGTAAGTCATTGCTGTTCTCTAGGCTATTTGGCATTTTTTCATATTGTCCTGCCATGATCAAAGTTTCTGCCACCTTTAATGAGCTGCACTGCTGGCTTCAAATCTTCATTATCGCATTAGGGGAAGCAAATTCTGCAGGGTCTAGGACTTTAAAAACTGTTAAATAAAAATATTTTGGAATTGTCAGTAAACATCTGCAGATTAATTTCAGTCTCCTGCCCCCCCCCCCCACTTAGAATGTAGAGTAGCTTTTAATAGTTCCCTGGCATTTTGGTTAAAAATGTCATCCAATAACCTTTTGTCCAGTGATTTCTCAAAGGACTCACAGAGAAATTGTCCGTCTATCCTCCTGCCATTTGCTGTGCCCTAAAATGACTGTGTTTGACAATAACAACAGAACAGATGAGGCTGCCTATTGTCATCAGATGATCTTCAGCTTTTTCTACTATGGTACATGTTATTTAAAAAAAACTGTTTAATTAATGCTGCAGGCAACAATTATGTCAGGGAGTACAATGAGTCTGAACCACGACAACCTACAGCATCGCAGCCATCTGGGAAGGCAAGCCAGCTTCCAGGAAAGAAGCACTTCAAGGCCGCACTACAGCCAGACGACCCGTAGCAACACATTGCCATCTGATGTGGGCAGGAAGTCTGGAGCTCTGCGGAAAATGAAGCAAGAGATGAAGGAGATAATGTCACCAACTCCTGTGGAGTTACACAAGGTATAGATGCCATTTGATTTCGCCCCACACACAATGAACACTGTACAAACAGACCACCAACTTAGCAATGCTTCCTCTGATGGTCCTACAGATAAATGTTAAGAGGCGTGAATGACCTTGCTGGCCAGGTCCTTCATGGTATGTCATTGGAGAGGAGGAAATGGTATCAAGCTTATCTACATCTTCTCTTGGCTTTGCAGTGGTGAATGGCCTTCATAATCCATTTCTACCATATTTTGGACTGATACATGGTGACCATTCATCCATGCACTTGAAAGAAAACACAGTTTGATTTACAGCCATGTCTTGTCTGTTGGCTCCTGCGTTGTGCTGCAATAACGTTTTCTTCATAAAATGTTTTCTTTCCCTTTGTAAAAGAATGTTATCTGTCTACAACAAAGGCGTGAGAATCAGTTTAAGTGACTAAAAAAACAAAAAGGGTCCAGATCGCCTCTTTGTTACATTCTTAATTCAGAAAGTAGAAGAAAAACAGATTGGGGGGGGGGGGCTTGTGGTGTACAGTAATAAGGTTATATGTGAAGGATAAATTTTGACACATGCTGCAAAGGAACAGGGAGTTGGTTATAGTGTGAAAGGGGAGTGTGACCTTGTAAAAGAGGGGATGTTACCATTTGCAGAAAGGAAATGGTATTTTTCTCAACTTAGATGGCTGGTAGGTCAGACAACACAATTAGGAAAAGAAAGAAAAAAAGGCTGGTAGGTAGTACAGAAAGGCCCTGATGCAGCTGTGCAGCCTTGAAAGACTCACTGATCATAGTGACCAGCTTTTGTGAGGGAATGGAGCAAATTCAGCTCCTGCTTCCTCTCCTGGACAGCCAGTAGGCACATTTACAGTTTTATAAAGGAGGGATCCCCGCATACACTCTGTCACACCCAAGCAAGGCATAGGGCCAGATGCGGACGGGAAGGTACGCATCGACCTAAGCTACTATTCTTTGTAAATGTTGTTGCTTCTTGGGTAGCTCAGCTGAAGCCCCGTTTAGTTTACCTAAGGGGGAAATGCCCTATGCATAATTAGGGTTGCCAAATATGCCCGGGAGGGCGGGGAATCCCCCGCATCGGGGCCCCAATTTCCGCCCCGGCGGAATCGGGGCCCTGGGGGAACCCCGCCCCCGAAGCTGCGTCAGCCACGTTGCTGACGTTGGGGGCGTGGCTGGGCTCGTCAGGGGGGGAAACCATATGTTTCCCCCCCACGAGCTCGGCCACGCCCCCAATGTCAGCAACGTCTGAAGTCACTTCCGGTGACGTCGCAGCGGCGCACGCGCACTTAGCGCGCGCGCACACAGCCAGCTCCCGGGAAGAACGGAGCCTCCCCCGCTGGTAAGATTTTAAGACTTGGCAACCCTATGCATAATCAAGAGCCAGATTCAATTAGATTTCATTCCAATTTTTCAGTATGCAGGAAAGACTTTTTTCAGGAGTATGCTTGCTACTCTTTAATCCAGTGAGAATGCTGTGCCTCATAGGTTGTCTCAGCACTTCCACCTTCCCAAACTAATTGATGTACGGTTCTATATCGAACTCTAAAACATGGCAAACAGAGCAGAACAGAGTAAATAAATACATTTTTTTCCCAGTGCAGATATCAGAAAAGTATTTTCTTCACAGGTAACTTTGTACAAGGATTCTGACATGGAGGACTTTGGGTTCAGCGTATCAGACGGCTTGCTGGAAAAAGGCGTGTATGTTAAAAATATTCGACCAGCTGGACCTGGAGATGTGGGTGGTTTGAAGCCATATGACAGACTTCTACAGGTAGTATAGGACCCTTTGTGTTTTCTTGAACTATAGTGTCTAAATACAGGACACTGGTTTTATTAAGCCCAAGAACAAGTATGCAACCAAACTCAGCATACAGACGATAGGCAAAAATTGTTTGAAGTGAGTTCATGTCCCTCATTTGTCTGTTTTGAGGAATGGATTGAGAGGAAAAGGAAGAAACTGTGGACAAGTCCAGCCATTTATTTATTAATTTATTATGTATTAATTCAATTTATACCCCGCCCTCCCCACACATGCAGGCTCAGGGCGGCTTACAGGAGGCACAAGCCAATATAAAAACATATATAAAACCATTTAAAATCATTACAATACAATAACATTATAATTAACGAATATTATTAACAAATATTAAAGCAGAGGCGTCAAACTCATTTGTTACAAGGGCCGGATCTGACATAATGTCACTTTGTTGGGCCGGGACATGTGTGCCATAAAACGTATTGCCAGGTACCAGAGATAGAAACTGTACAAAGGACAGCAGCTGGTAAGCTCCAAATTGGTGTGTCCTCACTGCAGGGCCCCATGGGCTGGGAGTGGGGTGCAGGGGAAAGCCCGCACAGGCGGACTGGAGAGGCAGCAGTGCAGCGCTGGGCAGATGCTCCCATCATGCTTGACTGCTGCAGACAAGGTTGTTCTGCTGTGCTGAAGCCCCAATGGAGTGGCTGTGCCCACTCCCAACACTTCCTCCCTTGCACCCGGCACTTCCTCCCTTGCATCAGTTGCTCGTGGGCTGCATAAGAGCCCTGGATGGGCCGGATCCAGCCCTTGGGCCTTGTGTTTGACACCCCTGGATTAAAGGATGATTCAATAGAAGTATAAGCTAGGCAAAATAGTCATCACAGATCTGGCATAACTTCAAACTGCTGAAAGCAGCAATCTTATGCTTGACTTGTTCTACTGAAGACACTGGGATTTACTCCCAAGTAAAGCATGCATGGAATCAGGCTGCAAAGCTTCAGCTTTAAATCTTAACAAGCCAGAATAAACCCACTTGAGTAACTTATTTATTAATGGCATTTGTATGTTGCTTTTCTCCCTGAAAGGATCCAAAGTCGCTCACAGAAAAAAACTGAAATATAATTTCCCAAACAGTACAATTAAACAACAAAAACAAACAAAAGGAATACATCCTGGGCTGGTACTGATCAGCAAAGCTGCTTACACAGACTTTGGGCTGAGGGCCAAGAGTCCATTAGCTTACACCCAGGGATTCACGCCTCTATGGCAACTCAGGTGCTAAGTATCAGAGAGAAAGGTGGGCCTAAATAAATGGCATAAATAATTCCACAAAGAGGAAGACAAGCTTAACTGTGATGGAACTCAGAGCCAGACTAGATATGACCATCCCTATGTCCACCATGGGGATGCTGCCACCATTTTAAAGTGATTTTAAAATTCCAGGAGGGCCCGATGCTGATCGGGGCTGCAGAATGGCAGGTCGAGACACTCTTGTTTCCCCTGCACCTTTTCAAAATGGGGTGCAGCCATTTTGGCACTTGAAAAGGTGCAGGGGGAGAAACAAGAGCACCTCAGCCCACTATGCTGTGGACTCAGTCAGGCCTTTGTGGTGTTTTTAAATCACTTTAAAATGACATCGACTTCCCTGTGGCGGATATGAGGGTGCCACATCACATCCAGTTTGGCCCTTTGCTATTGCTAGCTTGCTGCCATCAAGATTTTCTTCACTCCCTCCCTCATTTCCCTCCTGCATTAACCTCTTGCCACATTTTCTTCCTCAGTTGATCTTTTATAGGGTCTTGCAGAAACAAAGATAGCATTTCACTTCAGGTGAAATTTCTTTGAGGTTTTGCAGTTTGACTAAACAATAATCTTTTTTTCCTTTTAGGTAAATCATGTTCGCACAAGAGACTTTGACTGCTGTCTAGTTGTGCCCCTCATAGCAGAGTCTGGTAATAAATTAGAACTCGTTATTAGCAGAAATCCTCTAGCCTCTCAAAAGATGAGCGCCGAGCAACAGACTTTTGCCACTGGGGAATGGAATGATGCAAACAATGCCTTTCTTCAACAAAGTGGACACAACACTGGTTCAGAGATGCCACGGGAACCTACGAACACTTTATAGCCAAAAACTGTATTAGTACAAGACATTTAAATGGTGCTATATCCCTATGAGATTTCTGCTACACTGGAGACACAACTCTTAAGAAGCACAGGGGAGTCTAATTATTTCTCAAGACTCGTTATTTGCTACTTGCTTCCCAAACAGAGTTTTGTTCTGTTCTTGTTTTTTATAATCATGAACAGTGCCATTCTAAATAGACCCTAAATTCAAGCAAAAATGAATGGTGAAAGTGGCTTTATTTTTTATCATGACAGATTTAATTAAAAGAGATAGGGCTTCTCTCTCAATTCTGATTGATTAAAAAAACAACCACCATTTTTTAAACTATAAGTCATAAACACACAGATTGATTTTTCGGAATTTGTAACTAATTTGAAGATCAGGTGATATAACTGAATGAAGGAACCTTGAAAGATTGCTGCTGCACCCAGAAGATGACTTGTACGTTGGCTATTGTAGTAATTGCTTTGTAGCAAGCAGTGGTGCTGCTGTCTCTGCTGTAGTGAAAAAGGTGTGGAGACAAGAACTACAAAGTGGCTTTACAACCGTTTTGAGCAAAGGGGCACAGCAAGAATCCGGAGTGTGGGGAGGGGGGTAAACGTATAGTGCCCAGCTGTAGTATGATTTTATTAGGAGTTATATTATTCCCTATGCAACAATGTACTGAACAGGATATGTCTTGCGGCCTGTAAGGATTTTTTGACTTTGCGGTATTTGGAACTTCTGATGATCTATTGATTTGGGGGGGGGGGAATGCAGTAAAAGGAATTTTAGTGATATTTAAAAAATAAAAGTTTATACAAATGAAGAAACATTCAAGTAATTTTTTTTAACTTTTGAATTATGGTAGCAAAGGAATATTGATGCAAATCTTAACTTAGGACACATGCAAATTAAATTATATAACTACACAGGATTTTTGTTTAATTAAAGTGAATGCATTGCTTTAAAATGTCTATTTAAATAATCTTTGTGGGATCTTGTTGACCCTTACCATTTTGGGCAATTAATTTTTAAATTGTAAATACATTTTGCACTCTCTCTCTCTCACATACACACTCTCTCTCCCAAATTCCACTCCCCCCCCCCATCCCGTCAGAGCAATAAAATGTGCCAGTTGCTTTTTAGGCTCACCAGCAGCTGCTTTGATTTGTTTACTGTATCGTCATGGTAATTAATGTTACTAGGTGACTGGAAAGACACTGGATTTGTCTGTTATAACCGTAGAGTCTTCATATCTTAGCAATCCTTCCAACAGCCAGTTTTCCCATCTATTTGAATTGTTGATGTAGCCCTAATGCTATTTTCCTTCACCTGTTTCATAAGCAAGCTTACCTGTCCTATGCACACACCAGTGAAATGTTTTACTCATCTGTCAGCACTGCCAGAGAAAATTCATTCAAAATGAAATTGAAACCCAAATCATGAACCACTTAATATGTATTTTTATTTGTAACAAATGAGTATTAAAATGAAAGTATTTTTGTACAAATTTAATACTTTAATAGCATGATATTTATCGTCTATGTATGGTTTCTGGGAATTCAAACTGTTGCAAAAATTTGTATGGAAAATGTAAAAAAAAATCAAATAAACAATGATTTAAAGAGGACGATATTGCATGTGTTGAATTTTTTATGCCAACTTCTGTTCAGTCAACGAAAAAGTCTACAATCTCAAAAAAAAGGAGACTTTGCATGACCACTTCCTCCATGCGGGTTTAAGTAAAAACTGTTTCTTTACATTGTAAATTCTTTCGCAGTTATTTGCACTTCAGATGTGAGACGTGGATAATGGAAATGATAAAGAATGCTGGATCATTCCCAGTGATCTACCACACTGGTTTTGGAAATTTGCTGATCACGGGGAGGGAGAGGCTGCACGGCCTCCCCTGCAGATGACAAGGGCGGTTGAGCAGAGTCAGGAGGGAAGGCCAGTGTGTTTGCGCCTGATCTCCCTCCCTGAGCATCCACTGAACATGTGGGGAAGTCACCACACTCATATGTACAAGCTTATGTCCCAGGTTCTTTTAAAATAACATCTTAGACAAATTCTAAACTTGTCCCCCAGGGTGTAGATTAAATATCTGCACAGTAGGACCAGGTACAGACAAGGGAGATGTTTTTGCAAATCTGGTTTGCAGAAAAATCCCAAAATAAAGAGGTGTAATACTTGAAAATGTTCAATAAATATTATACTAAAAAGATCTCCCCCAAACAAGGAGAATGTCAGCCAAGATATGGATTAGCCTTGCAAGATCATGGGAGACATTCCATGGTTGCTTAGCAACCCTAACAGCCAGGCATGGAGAAACTACAGAAAGCCTAAATGGGGATGGGGGGGGGAGGAAAGAAAGTGGCGATGGGGTCGGGGTTGGAGGATGTGGGGGGACAGCAGCAGTCAGATAAGATTTCCATCTTCCATAGGTCTCAAAGGTCCCTGTTTTTCAGACTCTAAAAACCAAGACTATTTTTATGCCCAGGTCCAAGAAGGGGCAAAGGTGGCGTAACTCAGGTTTCTGAGTGCATAGCCCTGACTGGATCAGGAAAATACATGTCCAAATGGAATTCTGATGTAAAACCGGTACTGCACACACAGCATTGAATTAGAAGCAATGTTAAATGTAATTTCTTGTAATGAAATCCTTTTCATCAACAATACCGCAGTGCTTTGAGAGAAAGGAGCCCTTCAACAAAGCCAGGGTACAAGGATTTTTTTAAAAATCCAACACATGTTTATTCCAGTAATGAACATCAAAAAATGCCAGCCTTAGAGTGTGTATTTCTCCATTACAAGAGATGCAAATAACTTTAATAAAAGTAATACTATTTGGACTTTTAAAATGACTTTTTGAAGAAAAAAAACCTGCCCTTTTATGCTAAATCCATTTTTTTTAAAACGGACTGCCCACACCCCCAGCTTTACACTTCTGTTCAGATGCACACTTTGTAAAAGCAAATCAAACTGAAGCATGTAGCCAGATAGCAGATTTGTTACAATGGAAAAAGCTTTTTAGGAACCGGGCCTTCCAGTGTCATGTTTTGAAGTCTCTTAATTCCAAGTGGGGAGTTGTCTTCCTTAATCTGTGAAATACCCCAAAAAAGAACAACAATGAGACCTAGAAGTAATTCTGGTTGAGAACCATCATAACTGTTAATAAACTTAAGTTATAAAAGTACTGATAGTTTTGTGGACATGAATCTTACAAACGCAACGGCCTTAGCTCAGAGCGACACCTTGTACGTAGTAGGTGTTAACAGCAGCCCAAATAAACAATGTCACCTCAGTTTCTCCCCTATATCATACAAATGCCTTCATGGTTCAAGTTCTCCTCATCTCTATGCCACTTCATGGGCTGTTGCTTTCAGTGTCATCTTGCATCACAAATTCTTTTTCCAAGATGAGATACAAAAAAAGGGCCGTCGCCGCCACATCATTAACCTGCCTCTATTCCCAGTTACTGCTGTGCCCAACCCGGATGTTCTTAGTAATTTCTAACTAGACATAAACATGGTATTTTTTGTGTGAAGCCGCAGAATTCTTTTGGTTTGCTCTACAATGCAACCTATACTACATTTCATGGCTTTTCAGCATTTTAATAACTTTTTATCTATCCAAAGCACTGAGCTTCTGCACAAAAAAAATCTTGGCTCACAAAATGTATTTACTGCGGACTTTGAAACATATGGGACCCTAAGGCACTGCTTCATGCGTCAAACTCTATTCCTTATATAGTATAATGTATTTAATGATGATACATTATTAAAGAATTCACTGTTTTCGATGTATAAAGTTTAACATATCCAAATATGCTGGTACTCCATCCAAATAATACAATTTCTTTTATTTATTAAATAATTTGTTTTGGACATTAAACTTTTATTTTTTTCCTGCCTCTCAGATGGCAGACGTTAAAATGCATCTACTATGGTAGTGTAGGCTGTAGCAGTTTGAAACTCACTTTCAAGTACAGGGTATGCTTGCAATTTTTGTTATAGAAAACAAAGACCTTTATACTTTTAAATTCTAAATATGCCAAATACTACAATTTTATACGATAAGTTATAAATGATGTGTTTTGTGTTGTTAAATCAGAAAAAAGTTTAGGTTTCTATATATTTCAATTTTCCTCGAAACCTCCCCCCCCCACCCAGTTTGGCTTCAGAATTTCAAGAAATTTTACATCTCAAGGAGAGGCCCAAAGTTATGGATTACCTCTGCCGCACACCCATCTCCCCCACAGAAGTCACACTTCAGTAATATAAAAACCATTGATCTCCCATATTGTCTAGGGAGAATGTTGTAATGCTTCATGGAGAATCGCAGCTGCTCCCACTCAAGCTTTTGAGCTGTGTGAAGGGAGAGTCTGCACAATCCAGGCAACCCACTGTTACACATTATCAACTTTATGAGGAGATGTTTCCGGCTGGCAACAATACCACAACTTATGACAAGCACTTTGCGACATTCCAAAGCTTACCAACCTGGGCTAATATCCATAAAAGACACACGACAATTTATAAGTATTTCTACAAGTGAAGAAATTGCATAGGTAAAATTTTATAACAGTTGTTTCTAAAGAAACTTCTTACCAACATTACTTTAGAAGGGCTTGAAGAATCTTCTGGTAAGTTACTTTGCCTTTTAAGGCCACCTGGGCGGCGTGACATTTCCATCAGCTCAACAGTTCTCTGTCTGTTGTCATTTTTCATTTCATCAGAAACTGCAGCCTCCTCTAAGTTAATACAATTATTTCCGGCATGAGGAGCAAAGTCATAAATCCTGTCCTCTTTACTCTGCACGTTCCTTTGAGAAGAAAACATTTCCTCAGAAGAATCAATTTTCCCCATAAATGCATCTTGCAAATGTTTTCGTAAATGAGTTTTTCTGGGGAACTCTTTGTTAGCTATGGCTTTTTGGAGTTTGGCTTCTTCAGCGACAATATAGACTCGGCTACATCCTCTAGTGACAGCTGTGTATACATGCTGCCAGTTCTGGCGACCAGCATTTCCAACGACATAGACAACAGTCTTCTCCTCAGAACCCTGAAAACAGTATTGAGACTCTCGAATAAACCCATTTCAATGCAGTTCACCTCCTTGCTTCTCAATTTTATTAATTTATTGAAAACATTTTATGCTACCTTTCCACCCAGCTTGGAGTCCCATGGTAGAAACGATCAAGTGCTGCCACTGGTCTTACAAACTTTTAGTAATTTTTATCACAAAGCAAATGAATCAGATGGAAGGAAAATGCTTGTATCTGCCAATCTAATTTACCAGGATTTTTTGAAAGAGGCCTGCCTATGTTTTTGGTAAATCACCAGATGAGGTTTTCATACTGCCTTGTTTTGGTTTCTCCACTGTTCAATGAACGACACCCATTTTTATCCCACCCTTCCTCCAATGAACTCAGAGTGCCACACGTGGTTCTGTCTCCACCATTAGTCCTCGGAACAAGTCTGTGAGGCAGGTTAGACTGAGAGAGTATAGCTGGACCAAGGTCATTCAGTGAGATTCACAGTGGAATGGGGATTTGAATGTGGGATCCTAATAAATATCCTAATAAAATAACATTAACCACTACATGCCACCTGACGGCAAAATCACTGTTCCCATAAAGAGCCTTTCTAAATGTTAAAGGCCCTTTCCACAATGGATGGCTACTTACTAACTTCATGTTATGACTGAGTCAAAATCAGGCTTTACATGTGACTGGCAGCATTTTCTTCAGGTCGGTAGAACTTCATTAAAACTATCCCCTCCCTTACCTGAAATGTGTGAATAGTTCTGGCCCAGGCATGCTGTATCTTACAGACTCTTCGGAGACCTCGATAAAGCAGGGTGTCTGTAAATCCATCAGTGCTTCTAATGGTCAGGAGGCGACGCTTGTCAACTTCTCTGTCCTACATACACAATATACAGATACATGGCTTTATTAGGTAATAATGTTGTTGTTGTTGTTCAGTCGCACAGTCGAGTCAGATTCTTTGTGACCCCATGGACCACATCACGCCAGGCCCTCCTGTCTTCCGTTGTGCTCTGGAGTTTGCTTAATTTCATATTCGTTGCATTGATAACACTGCCTAACCATGAGTACTCAGTAAATCAACTGAGGCCTTACCCAAGAGTTGCCCTTCATGATTCCAAAACAGATGCAGAAGCAAATTATTCTTTTTACACTATCTACCTAAGCAGCAGGGATGTCTCCTAGCAGGATGCTTTAACCACATGGGCAAGAATGCTAGCAGAATCTGTATAATATTTCTTTGTCATCATGGAGCTTTGCTTTCTGCTGACCATCTGGTGAGCAGCAATACTTCCTCTGTACCTGACTCCTAGCATTTAACAGATAAACAGGGCAACCAGTAGACCAATACTACTGAATGAAGTTCAAAAACAGCAGACATTTTAAAAAGAGTACAGCAACACGGAATATTTCTTCATACTGGGCTAGATCCTGAGCAAATCCACATGCCCTAATCCCCCCCAGCGTCAGTCCTCCAGCTCTCATGCTGTTCCTAGCCCCCCACTCAGAGTAGCATTCCAGGGTGCAACTTGAGTAGCAGCGAGCATAAAGTCAAACTCAATGACAGATCTTGTTTGGCCATAAAAAAGAAAGTAATTGGCTCTTTGTACATGACATGACGAAAGTGTTTTCCCATTTCCAGGAAGATTCTGAAAATCAGTTACAAGCCACATGCCTCTTCAATGAAGAATATGTCTCCGTTGCACAAGCGTGTATCATCATTTTCATGGGAAGGTGGATTCCGACCAGAGAGGCAATCTTCTCTTGTAAAGCACGTATCACAACCACATGGATCAGAATCTTTATTATTCTTTGTGCAAGTCTTATCATTTGGAAGAAGATCTCTTCTGTATGCATTCCTTGTGGAACAAATTTTATCACCACACTGAAATTGTAATTGGTTTTTATGGTTTCTGAATAAAAAGAGAAGCATATCAAAGATTCATTTAAAGCATTCATATGTATTTATTAATTATTTATTGATTCAATTTTTTATCCCGCCCGCCCCGCCAAAGGCAGGCTCAGGGCAGCTTACAATAAAAAGTTAAAAATATATTAAAACACACATGCTTATACAATACAGCATCAGCCTCAGTACAAAAGGAAAACCTCAAAACAGCCATGTAGCTTCAAAGTATTCCCCTGCTTTCCTAGAGGACCTCAGTGAAAAAACATCCGGTGTCCACAAAAGATATTGGGGTTCTGTAATACATTCAACAACGTCACCACATCAGCAGAACAAAGGACCATAGTGTCAGGGTGCACCTCTAAATTCTCCTAGAATGCTCCTCAGAAATATCATGAACCATCCTAATAAACATATCTTCAATATTAAAAAAAAAAAAAAAACATTTTGAAGTGTAGCCCCAGAGCTGGATCGCAATAAAAAACAGCAGAACACAAAGCCATGTTGAACCCAATTCTTTCAGGTCAAACAGCTGCAAACCCCTGGATTCTAAGCATTACGATATTCTGCCTATTGAGATCCAGTGTGGTGTAATGGCTAGCATGTCAAACCAGGACCAGTGACAGACTTGTGTTCAAATCCTCATTCAGCCATAAAATTCACTGTGTGATTTCTGACCATTCACCCTCTTTCAGCTTAACCTACCTCACAGGATTGTAGGGAGGATAAAATGGCAGTGGAAGAACTACGTACAGTGAGAGGTGTCTGGAGAAATGGCAGGATACTACTCTGTGATTGATTGGTTAAAGCTAGAATCACAATTAAGGCCTCTTCAGACTGTAAAGTCCCCTGGAATGAACAGTGTGTGGGACTGTTACATCACTCTCAATCCACAATGATATCCTAAACCAATATGATGGAAGGGGGGGGGGCAGCTATCCTGTTCGCTGCGTTTTTAGAAATGAGGAAGGATCTTTAAAATCATACTACAGACCTAGAAAAGTTGGACAATGGGGCTTTAATATGAAGCTTCATCTACGAAGATGAAGTTTAAAATAGTTCCCTTTGACTGCATGTAGAACTTTTCCTTGTGCTAAACTGGCTTACAACACAAATAGTGGAACAAAGTTTGAGTCCAGTGGCACCTTTAAAACCAATAAAGTTTAATTCTGGATATAAGCTTTCATGTGCACACAAAGTTCTTCAGATACAGGATCCAATGAAGTGTACATGCACACAAAAGCTTATACCCAGAATTAACTTTGTTGGTCTTAAGAAGAAGAGATTGGATTTATACCCCACCCTTCACTCAGAGTCGCAGAGCAGCGTACAATCTCCTCTCCTTCCTCCCCACAAAAGACACCCTGTGAGATAGGTGGGGCTGAGAGAACTCTGAGAGAACTGCTTTTGAGAGAACAGGTCAGAGAACTGTGGCTTGCCCAAGGTCACCCAGCAGCTGCATGTGGAGGAGTGGGAATTAAACCCGGTTCTCCCAGATTACTGTGGGGAATCAAACCCAGATTAGAGTGGGGAATCAAACCCGGTTCTTCTAACCACTGCACCAAACTGGCAAACTGGTTAAAGGTGTCACTGGACTCAAACTTTGTTCTGTTGCTTCAGTCCAACATGGCTACCCACCTGAATATAACACAAATAGTGGTAAAAGATAAAATTGAACAAATCCATACCGCATTGGATGCTGTGAGTAGTGCTGACAACAGAGTTCATTGATGATGTCACAATCTTTCCTAATGTATGTGAAAAACACACCATCAGTTTAATTATAAACACACAAACATGCATCATTTCAGAATAAGTTTTTGTTAGACTCAGTTTTATAACCAGCCTCTCAAACAGAAGAGAACTTTCACAATGGACTGCTGCAACTGAGGAAACTAAAACAAGGATTTATACCCTAACCACACAGCACCCCAAGGAACGTCCTCAGAAGCTGAGACATTTGGCATAAATCCTTACATCAGTTTCTTATAATAGCATCAACTGCTCTTGGTCACTACTAGGACCCTCAGAAATACTCCAGGTCTTTCTGTTCTAAGCTTGCTGCTCAAAGAAAGGAACGGCTACTTAAGCCAACAATACATACTTGAAATGTTATTATAGGAAGGAACAGGAAGAGTTTATGACTAGAGGCATAAACACAGAATGAGAGCGGGAAACACCTATGATCCACACTAATATTTGTTATAAACGTAGCAAAATGCCCGGCATCGTCATGGGAGGCAAGGTGTGCGCACGGGGGAGAGGGCCTGCAATTGCCAGGATTCTGCCTCTGTTCTGCTCCTCCATCATGCAGCTGTGAGTCCCCCACTATGACACAAAGAGGACAGGTTTTGACCAACTCCCGTGATTTTTTCCATCAGATGCAGTGCTTTAGTTGGGTCCCCTAAGAATGAGAAACATCCACTTGTATGGGATAAACGGATATCTCAGGAACTGCCCACAACTTGTTTAATTGACCCCATAGAACACAATGGGAAACATTACAAACTAAGCCAGCCACTATCTGCATAGCTCCAACCATTCCCCATCCTCTGTTCCATCTTTTGGCCACACTAAAGTGCAATACACACTTAGGAACTGGCTGTTCTGTGATTAGATAGGATAGCTGGGATCGTTTAGTTTTTCTTCTGCCAATTGCATAATGGAAAAGGAGATGCATAATTACATAGCAACAACACTATAATCCTCTGCAATACTCTTTGTAATGAAAAACCAATCTAGAGAGTATGATTAGGGGGGGGGGGAAGCAGACGTGCTATTTATCACTCTTCTGGCTTTGTTGATAGCACTACCATTAAGGGCTAATAGATACATCACAGTCCCACTGTTAAAGATTTGGGTTGCATGGTTGACATACTTCCTGCTAGCCTTTCCTCCCTTATGTGAAAATTCCCTCTCCTACTCCATCATTACCTTTAATTGGTATCACTCATTACAAGAGGGGGCCTGCAAAGACTTGCGGTAGAAGCTCATCTTCCCCTCCACCACTGATCTTTCCCTTCCTTCCTTCCCAAGGAAAGGAAGCCCTACAGCCTCTCCCTTTTCCTGCTTCCTTTTCTCCTTCCCACCCATCAGCCAACATGCTCCCCATCTTCAGCTTTGCCGCCTTCTCTTCCCCAGCAGCAGCCTCAGCCCAGAAAAAACTACAGCCCAGTTGCACTGCGGGGAACCCTCAGGGAATGGAGGGACACCTCACTTCCTTGTGTATCCTCTTCCCCACACTATTTCCTCTTTCCTTCCACCTGGCAGCTAGGGTGGCCAATTCTGGTTTGGGGCACTTCTGGAGATTTTTTTTGGGGGGGTCAAGCCTGGGGAGGGAAGGGACCTAAGAAGGGTATAATGTCATAGAGTGCACCTTCCAAAGCTGCCATTTTCTTCAGAGGAACTGATCTCTGTAGTTTGGAGATCAGTTGTAATTCCAGAAGAACACCCCATCCCACCTGGAGATTGGCAACTCTACTGTCAGCCCCCTTATCCTAACCTTTACCTGCTTCCTTTTCTCCTTCCATCTACCAAGTAACCTACCTTTTATCTGCCACCCATCTTCAGCTATATATATAATTTATTTACTTCATTTATATCTTACCGTTCTCTACAATGGGGACCCAAAGAAGCTTACATCATTCTCCTCTCCTCCACTTTATCCTCACAACAACCCTGTGAGGTAGGTACTGCAAAGAGCACATGATTGGCCCAAGATCATCCAGTAAGCATCCATGGCATAGTAGGGATTCAAACTTGGGATCCTAGTCTGAAACTCTAACAACTACACCACATTAGCTTTTTTTGAGGTGGCTGCTGTTGAACAGTGGCAAGCAGCCGGGCTCGGGTGAGTTATGCAAGTCATGTGGTAAGAAGTTGCTCAGTGGTTGCTGCCAGGCCTGCCCCAATGAGTCCCCCTTCAGAGGTCAAAACAGCCCTCGAAAGGGTTCCCACACCCTGCCTTTTCTGACAGAAACCAATGCTCAAAGGCTGGCAATACAGTTGTGGTTGCCTAGCAACAGCCACAATGGCCTCTGACAGAGAATTTGTTTCCTAAACCTACAGGCACTGCTTCTGTTATTTCAGGGGTGTGTGTGTTAACACCACCTTTTAAAAAAAAGATTCCAGATTTTTCTGCAAACCTGGGGCTTGTCTGCTCATGGCTCCAATCGCCAGATTTAAATGTCTGCAGGTGGTACCACACTGAGAATTAGATATATTGATGTCTATTTGGGTAGAACCATGATTTAAACTACACAGACCTTACTTCCAACAAGAGTTTGCAACTGGCTAATCAAGATCACTATTCATGCAGGAATGGAAAGAATGAAGGCAATCTCCTTGTGTAAGGAGAGGAACAAGGAAAGGAAGCAATTGATCCTGCAGCCGGCCCCCAACTGTTTATCCATGGCTGAAGGACAGGCACACCTTCACGAGTCCTAATTTTAGCATGTATTTATTTATTTGATTTGTATCCCGCCCTCCTTGCCAAGGCAGGCTCAGGGCAGATTACATTAAAAATATATATAATATATTAAAACACAGATGTATTAATACAATGCAATGTCATAAAACTCACACATAACAAGTGCTGGTGGCGGTCATATCCCGATAGGCCATAATAAAATGATAACGAAGTATAGCTACCATCAGTGTCCAATATATAACAGGCTGTTGGTGTTAACATAGAGGGCCTTGACAGGTCAGTTGTTATCAGTAGCGGCTCCTAATCAAAAGCCTGGTGGAAGAGCTCTGTTTTACAGGTCTGCAGAACTGTAGAAGGTCCCACAGGACCCTGATGTCTTCCAGGAGCTCATTCCACCAGTGTGGAGCTGCCACTGAGAAGGCCCTGGCAGAAGCCAGTCTGGCATTTTTCGGTCCAGGAGGGGCCAAACAGTTTTGAGACCCCGACCTCAGTGCTCTCTGGGGAACATGAGGGGAAAGGCGGTCCCTCAGGTAGGCATCCCCCAGGCCATGTAGGGCTGTAAAGGTCAAAACCAGCACCTTGAAGCGAATCCAGTATGCTACTGGCAGCCAGTGCAGTGTAGCCAGGAGAGACATTCAAAGTCTACATACATAATTATTACCTTCTAAAAGAAATGAACTGTGACTGTTCAGCATCTTCAAGCCCTGGTCCTCCTTTAAGCAAAGCCTTTATGGCAGACTGCAAGTCTGATTACAAACACAAAATAAGTACAAAGCATAACTTCAAAATAATTATAATAATAAAAAGACATTTCACGATGATAATGTCAGCTACTTATAGCTACTTGCAACAATGCCAGTGCAACTCTTAGAGTAACATGCTGTCACGAATCTCTTGCAAGAAAGCCTTAGAACTGTGGCAAATATTTAAGAAACACTGAACCATGAGGAAACATAATAAATTGTCGATATGTTTTACAAGGAAAACAGATAAACTGCATCAATTACATGGCATACAAAAGTTATTAGGATAACTACACTTCCAGCACTCAAACTGACCACTAGAAACTGGTCAGTCATCTGCTACTGAACTACTAGCAGGCAAAAGTTAAGCAGTAGTCCACTGACATACCACTGGCTGATTTCTACTTGACCACCACTGGCTTGCTAGTACTCTTGCAATTCAACTGGACTGGGGATCACTTAACATGGGTTACTTATGCATTAACTAGCAAGAGTACTTTCTGCTCTTTGGTCAATTTAACACATGGCAGAGGGTCCATGGGGATCCTAATTAAAACAAAGGAAAAATCCATCATGCAAACACATGCAGTGCTAAAGGCATTCTACTCCCATACTATGCAGTACTTAAAATTGAATCAACATCAACTAGGTATATATTGCATAAGTGCACTATGTACACTGGTCTCGTTAGTGCAAAACACTTACCATCTTCAGAAGACAGGACAACACAAATAAATTTTTTCTCTGGACTTGGCATTGGCCAGGCTTTATTCTGGTCAGAACGTCTGAGTACTGCATCAAATTCTGGGTATATCCGCTGAGAGATTCTGGATTCAAGAAGGGGGTGGGATGTTGAATGATAAAGATGCTGCAGCTGCCTAGACAGAATTTCTGTCATCCTGGTACACCATTCTTTGTTTCACCCAGTGTGCCATAATTTCATTTTGCACATGAGAATACATTGAGGACACTGTCCCATTGCACACTATATACAATGGGTATCATACAGACTAATCCTAACAGAGTTAGAGTAACTGAACAGTTTCTTCTGAATGTGAGAGCTGGGACTGGAATTTAATTTTTTTTATAGTTTCAATCAAAATGTTTGGCTGAGGTGTTATGTTTTTACACACGCACACACACTTTCTCGATACAAATGACAGTGTGTAGCTGAAGGTTCTGAGTGAAAAGTCCAAAGATATGCCACCATAATGGAACTGGGAATGTAATATCTTGTATGCTGTAGAGCAAGTTCTGGCTAACAAACAGATTCTTTTTAAAAAATCTTACCTTGTTGAATTATCTACAATTAACTGTGACTCGGCCCTGTGATTGGTTCTGAGTTCTACTGACCAGCCTCTTGATTTCAGACTCTCAAACACATTGCACAGCATGTTACCAGGCTCAATACTGGGTAACTGTCTAATATCACCTAAATAAAATGCAAAATTATATTCAATAATAATATTGAACCATTATTGTTAAGTGCATTTCAGTGCCATACTTAGGCTCTCTTAGAGCCTCTAAATGTGATTACAATTTTGCTTTCATTTTTAGAAAGAAAGCAGACTAATTAGCATGAATACCAAATCATGTACAGTAAAAGCTTTATTGTTTGGCACTCAATTATCCAGAATGGTCAGTTAACCACTATCGCCTAGGGGACAATTTCAGTCCCCCGTGTCTCTGGTCATGCACAAGGCCCACTCACATCTCTCCATCTGGCCAGCGTGATGTCTCCAGCTGTTGCTGGGCTTCTGACAGCCAGCGCTGCCTGCTGACACTATCCTCAGATGCTTCTTTTCCCTCAGCCTGCCCTGAGGCACTAGAAGCCACCTCTGCTGGAGGGCTCCTGGGCAGCCTGTTTGCCTGCTGCACACGACGGTTCCATGGCTCAGAGGGGGAGGGCCCCACCGGCATGGATGCTGTTGCCACAGCACTCCAAAGAGGACGGGGCTTGGCTGCTGCAGATTCCTTCGCTAGGGGTTGGGGCAGAGCCGGAGTATCCAGCACATTTGATCATCCAGCAGCACTCATTTCCCATGAGTGCCAGAAAACAACACTTTTACTGTACTGCACAACATGAAATCAAATGTGTGAACATCAGACAGTGCCCTACCAATCCTGCTCTGCTTCTACGTGTGGGATTTCAGAGTCTAACAAAGGACTGCAGTCTTGACTCAAAGGGATTTGTGGAAGTATCCTTCAGGAATCAAAGTGAACACCAACCAAAAGTAATATTGCTTAAAATGCTTGCTTAAAAATCGCTGTAAGAAACTTAAAAATATGCATTCAGAGAATATTTCACAAGTAAGATTTCTTGGATGGTAAACAAGAGTAGAAGCCACGAAACCTAATCCCTTTGAAGCAGGTGCATGCTTGATGGGAATGGGTCCTATCAGAACCAAACGAAAATCAGTGCACAACTGCTCTCCTGCCAGGCAAGGCCAAAGAGATCTGTTTCCAACATTAGATAATAATTAAGAACTTATACCTTCTGTGCAAATTAGTGAGTAAAAGTTATGTCTGAATACTGGTTTGTTAGATTAGATTATTTCTCAAGGGCTGGGCAGGAACACATTCCTTATTCATCTTTCCATAAATCTCAATAAAAGTATCAGGAAACAAAGGAGGACCAGTTAGGTGTGGAGAGCCAGTTTGGTATAGTGGTTAAGAGCGGTGGACTCTAAACTGGAGAACCCGGTTTGATTCCCCACTCCTCCACATGCAGCCAGCTGGGTGCCCTTGGGTCTGTCACCGTTCTCTCAGAGCTGGTCTCTCAAGGACAGTTCTGAAAAGAGCTCTCTCAGCCCCACCCACATCACAGGGTGCCTGTTGTGGGGAGAGGAAGGGAAGGAGATTGTAAGGTGCTCTGAGACTCCAGGTGAAGGGCCGTGTATAAATCCAATCTCTTCTCTTCTCTGGCCCCTGCCACACGGCAGAAAAAAACACGGCCAAAGTGAGGCTTTTAAGAGCCGCACCAAAAGAGACACGCGGCGGCGGGATCACACAGATCCCCTGAGCCGCCGCGCAGTTGCTCCCTGGCACGATCAGATGCTGGGGAGGAAGCCACCGACGGGAGACTGAGGCAGCCGGTTGTGCATGCGTGCGCATGCGCAGTTCGGCCAGGAGCCTCGAATGCTCCTGACGAAGGACGCACCGGCGATCCCACGGCCGTGCTTGCTGCGGCGTTTCAGGTAAGTCCTTCTCTTTACTTGGTTTTTTTTTTTGCTCCGCAGCACTGGGCTGTAGGGACGGATCAGGGACGGGTGCGCGCCGATTCCCAGATGTTGCGGTGAGATCACGCCCGTTTGCTGCGCCCCCGATCCATCCCTCTTCCGGCCCAAAACCTCCCGGGGCCTCTCTCTCTCTCTCTTACACACTGGATGAACTATAAAATATTATTCTCATTTCAAGTTTGTCTTTAGCCAAGGCTTTACACTTACCAAGAATAACAAGCTTTGCAAGTTGAGCACTATGGAATAAGAGGTTTAAAACTCTGCTAAGAACAGTTACGGACACCAAGCTTCCTTCATCTACCACCAATACTTTGACTTTAGAAAACTTCCATGGCTTGGCCCCAGAGTAATAGCTGTAGACAACCTGAAAACACATAATTTAAATTTTGTATTAAGTACAGGTCAGGGGTGAATAGCCCTACCCCATCCCCATCCTGTAAAGAAGGGAAGAAAACCCTGCCTGTCCAGCCACAAGCTGGGTGGCAGGGACACTTCCTTGCTATGGAGAAGCTGGGTGGGTGGCCTAGATGGGCAGGCACAAGGTTGGGCAGGCATGCCCCTTGCCGCAGCAAGCCCTCCTTCCCCTGCATCCAGCTTGTGCCTGCCCCTCTTTTTGGGCTGGAGTGGCAGCTCTCGATTAAAGCTGGCTCTGCAGGGGGAGGTCCCCCCAGGCCTCTTCCCTTAATGGTCAATCTGCCCCAGAGCACAATCAGATCTGCTTTTCTTTTCTTTTTTTTATTAGCTAAACTTGTTGCTCAGTCTTTCACTGCCAATGTGACTTACTCCCAGGATAATATTCATCAGATGGCAGCCACTTTCTCCCCCCCCCCCATTTTGTTGTGTAAGCAACTAAGCAATGTGCTTAAAAGGCTTTCAAACTGCCATATTAATAAAACTGTCCAACCAGTCTCATCTGGCATACTGAAAGTTAAGAACAGTGAAAGAACAGCACATTCAACCTGGGTTAATAACACAATTTAATAACTGCTGTGAGTGTGTAACCTTATCACAAGAGGTTACAGGTTATGCACCAAGAGAAAGCCTGGGCCCAGGATCCAGAGGTGCAAACTTCCAGACTCTGGAAGACTTATGGCACCTAGCCAAAATAATAGACAAGAAAATACCCTTTAGGTTTGAGAAAAGTTCCCAGATTTCCTTTATACTTTGTGAAATATTCCAAAGTACCAAATTATTTGTAATATTTGCAGAATATATTTTGCACGTTATGTCTTGAAAACTTATTACACATCTACCCCACCAGATTACTGGAAAGCTTTAAAAATAGTTCATACCTGATGCAGAGTATAAGCAGGAAGATCTGTTTTCTTACTTAACAAACCTGCTGCCCTCCCTGTAGGTGCAGTAAACAAGACTTCTAGTGATCCACTTTTATCTGAATGTATGTTGAGATCAGAAAATGGCCTATAAGTGTTCCATTCTTCTGATGTGTCCTGGTCTGCTTCAAAATCTTTACAGGCTCTTCTAACTTCTTCAAACTCCATCCGTTTTAGATAGCTAAAAAGGTAACTAACCACTGTTGTTTTCCCACAGCCACCTTTACCACTCATGACTGTCACTGGATTGGAACAGATCAATTCCACTGCATTCTCCTGATCTGGATCCACTTCTGCTTCACATGTTTCTTTACGGGGGGTTTCTTCCATATTCTCTTGCACATCTGAATCACTATTAGGTTCTTCCTCATCATTTAATTTATTCTCAACAACTGGCCCTTTTGAATCGTTCATATGTGCACCACTATTAAGTACCTTTCTCACATCAACATGAAACTGCCACGGGGTTTTCTTTATGAGCTCAGATATAACCAATGCAATGTCTTTTTCAGCTTTGTACAGCTTGTGAAGGAACACTAGTTTTCTCTCAATAACCACTATCTTTTCATCTTTCATAAACTGAAGTGACTGCCAAACATGTTCAGTGGACATTTCAGGGACCATACGCATCAACTCATCCAGTTCTTCATATGTATGTCCCATCTCTCGACACCTCTTCTGGAGTTTTGCGTATATCATTAATGCATTCTTTTGTAAATCAGGAATCTTTTCAAGAAGTTGTGTGAATTCACAGAAAGCTTTCCAAGGAGCTTCGCCAATGTAAGTATGCAGATCTCTGTATACTATCTTTTAGAGAAACCAAAACTCTGTGTTACTTAGACAGAACATTCCCAAAGGAGCTGGCATAAGTTTAAAACAGGAAGTAAAGGTAAAGGTAAAGGTTCCCTTGCTCAAAAGCCAGTCGAATCCGACTCTAGGGTTGTGGTGCTCATCTCCGTTTCAAAGCCGAAGAGCCAGCGCTGTCCGAAGACGTTTCCGTGGTCATGTGGCCGGCATGACTAAACACCAAGGCGCACGGAACGCTGTTACCTTCCCACCGAAGTGGTACCTATTTATCTACTTGCAATTTCTTGCTTTCGAACTGCTAGGTTGGCAGGAGCTCACTCGGTCTTGCGGCAACCCAGGTCTCGAACTGCTGAACTACTGACCTTCCACAGCTTGCAGTTCAGCGTCTTAACCACTTGAGGAAACAGCTATACTTAAAGCAGCAGTAATGAACTACTTGCAATCAGAGCAACCAATTTCAAAAGCCCTTCAGAAGCCCACTCAGCCAATCTGCTTACCAAGACACTGAGGCTGCCAACTCCAGGTTGGGAAATTCCTGACAATCTGTGGCAAAAGCCTGCAGTTTGGGGACAGGCTGAACTTCAGAAGGGTATAATGCCATAGAGTCCACAGCTTCAAACTCTGGATTCAAATGTTGGCTAGAAATTAATCGTACTTAACTTGGGGAGGGGAAGAGCTGGCGGAAGTTAAATCTGCTTACCAGAGGGGAGAAACTGAGGACACTCACAAAAGTGTTTTTACACATAAAGATGTATATTATCTGTTCTGCCTCTTCGAAACCCTGATCATCAGGCATGCACAGCATAGCAGAAATCCAGCATAACCAAGAGACAGAAGCTATAAACTGCTTTTTAACATGCATTACAGAACTTGTTAACAAAGACATATCATCAGAGATTTCTTAGGAGTAACAAATTCTCAGAAATCCAATATCTATACAACTTGCTTGGAGTTACAAATTGTTAGTTTTGGATTTTATTAGTGTATATACCAGGTGCAATAAATATTTTCTTACTGTGCTGAATCCAAGTTTCCATGGCTCTTCTGTTAAGATCATATTCAGTTTTGCTAGTTTACTGCATTCACTGCCACTGATTTCACTCCAGTCCAACCACCCGATGCAGCTGGATATACTATATGGCAGAAGTGTTGGCAAGAACTCCACGAGAGCAGGGAAGTCCAAGGCTACTAGCATAGCTTTCCCTGCAGCTGTACAGCCAACAAGAAAGAAAAAGGCCTTTGCAGATTCAACTCAGATTGCTACACAAGTAAAATTAAAAGCAGCGAGTGAGCCACTATCGTAATAAACAAATCACACATAAAATGTTTATACTACTCACGTGAGTTCTTAATGTAATGAAAAATGTTAAAGTCTTTGGTATTTCCAGAGTCTTTTCTTTCCTGACATTTCGACACCATAAACTGGTTTAATTTCTTTTCAAGATGTTCAAAGTTCAGGGAAGACTTTTGAGGAAGCCACTCAAAAAAGGCTGTTGTAAATTCTTCTGGAACCTTACATGCCTTTAAAAAGAGTGAAATAACTGCTTGCCAATTTTCTCCTGGGTGAGTCGACAGAAAGTAAGATGGATACCCCTGGGCATAGAACTTGGATCCAGCCTGCTTCACTTTAACATTCACTTCCCACCATGGGTCCTTAAATGGAAACCGTCCAACAACCGGGTATTCCTTTTGGGATTTTTCATCTTTTATTACAACTGAAATCATTTAGAAGGGAAAAGCTGTTAGTATAATATTAAAATATTCTGACAATTTTTGGGGGGTTCAGCTAAATCACAGATTAATCCCAATCATATTAGGCCCCAATGAACAACGGCAACAAACCTGACAAAAGCAATGATCAGCAGCCATAGCACAGATCAGTCTTCTGATCGACATTCCCAATAGTTTATTCCCATCTCCAACAACTTGTTAATTAAGTAAACAGGAAGTTCTCTAAGGCAGAGTTCATCTCCTCAGTGTTCTGTATGTAGCCAGTACAAAAATGCAATGCTTTCTCTACAAAGTGATCTAATACTTTTCAGAAATTTTAAAGAATAATTATGTCCAATATAAAAAATACTAGGAGTCACTTTAAAACCTGTGTGTGTGAGAAAGGGAGCTTTCAGTCATTCATCATCACAGACCAGTCCCAAACTTGTTTCCTCAAAAGTACATCCTACTGAGTTCAGTAACTGTGTTTGTGTGTTAAGTGCCATCAAGTCGCTTTCAACTTGTAGCGACCTTATAAATCAATGCCCTCCAAAACATCCTACCATTCAAAAGAAGACATGTTACTCTGTGACAGTAAAAATGGGGTGGGTGAGACACTGAGTTATATAGGGTTGCAAACCTCCAGGTGGGGGCCTGGTCCTGCTACTATAGTTGATCTCTGGACTTAACAGAGATCAGTTTCTCTGGAGAAAATGGCTCCTTTGGAGGGCAGATTCTATAGAACCGATCCTGCTGAGGTCCCTCCCCTCCCCCTGCCCTCACCAGGCTCCACCCCCAAACCTCCAGGTTTTCCCAACCCAGAGCTGGCAACCCTCATTTAGTGATCCATGTGGTGACCAGCAGTTATTTTTGCATATCTTGTGCACATCTGAGCTGTACAGAGAACTATCCTTTTCTTGACATTTCCTAGACTCTTTACCCCATTGAGCAATTGCTTCCCGTGTGTAAAACCTTCCAAAGAAGGGCAATGGGGATCCTGCGAGATTGCATACCGCAATAGATCTGATCGTCTTTAAGGTGGCACAAGGGTCTTCTTCGCTGGTTTTTTTAATTGGGTTTTTGGAATCCAGTGAGCTTTACGCTAGTGATTTTAGGATTGCAATCTCGGAGGCGCTTTCTTTCATGACTTTTCCAGGACTCGGAGTTATTAATGAAAACCATACTGTGAACCCAGAAACAAAGTAAACCCAGCTCCCCCGCACACACACACACACACACACACACACACCCGAATATGCCTCTGTGAGCGTGCTAAGGCTTGACAACTGTCCCTTTGGGGCTCCCGCCTCTCTTAACAAGCAACCACACTGCTGAAAGGAAGAGCCGTGTACGCGGAAGTAATTCTCATAGAGTTCCAGGGCCTTCCACCCGGAGAAGTGTTCGTGCCTAGGGTTGCTGTTCAAGACCAGGTCAAGCCGCCCACACCAGTATCTCCCGACGCCATGTGAGGGGCTGTGAATGGGGAAAGAGAGAGGAACTGACGGCGGCGGATGTGTGCAGGTCCTTACCTGTCCGGCGCGAGGGCTGGGAGAAAGAAAGTTGGCTCGAATGTTCTGGCAGCTCAACCAGGGGCTCCGGATCGTCACCGTCCTCTTCCTCCTCGTCTTCCTCCTCTTCTTTTCCGCGTGCTGTTTTGTCCGGCAGCAACAAGCCCCGCAGTTCAAAGGAGATCCCTTTCCCGCCTTGGCCGCTCGGCGGGGTCATTTTCTGCCCGCTGGCAACGACACAACGGGGCGGCCTGAGTCTAGCGCCGAAGACCCTCCCACCGCGCCATCCTGGCCCCGGCGCACCCTGACGGCAGTGGGCGGGAACCACGGGACCTGTCGGGTTTCGTGGTGTCAAACTAGTAGATAGATAGCGATTCTGGAGGGTGGGCAGTCGTCTTGTTTGAAGCAAGAGAATAAAGCCTGAGACGAGTGGCACGTTTAAGACCAACGTTTAATTCAGACTCTGAGTCTTCGTGTGCATGGATCTGAAGAAATGTACGTGCCCACGAAAGCTTATACCCGGAATTAAACTTCGTTGGTCTTAAACGTGCCACTCGTCTCAGACTTAATTCCGGAGGAGTAGACGTGTTCGTTTGCTGCAGCAGAGATAAAACAGCCTTGTGGTGTCTTAAAGACTAACATTTTATTCCAGCAAAAGTTTTTGTGGACTAGAGCTCTCTTTAAAAAAAAAAAGCAATGAGGGGACCCTCCTTACTAGGCATTTTATACAACGGTATAAGAGAAAAAAACAAGATTCATACCTCTAAATGAATTAAATTCCTGGTGAAGATCCACTCATTATTTTTGAAGAAGAGGCCCACAAGGAGAAGCCTACAAAAGCTTTTGCTGGATAAACTGGTGTTAGTCTTTAAAATGCTAGAGGAATCCTGTTTATCACTGCTGTTATTTGTGATCATATTAACTCAGTACCATTTGTGTATGTAGAAATCATGTTGGGAGTTATAGGCAGTATCCTTATTCTTAAAACATTTTGTCAAGAGTGTAGTTACTAGAAAATAATCCAGTTGAACTAAATGGGATTAACAGTCAAGTAAACATGCTTGCAGTTGGGTTGTTAAAAGTGGGAAAGAAAAGTAAAATTTTATCTGCATGGATCCTCATGGATCTACTTTTTTAAACAGAACACCAGCAACAGCACAGAAACATGGATCCAAGGAAGGGATCCTCATGAATTCATATGATTTTACTCTGAAATGAAATGAAAACATCATATTGTAGATTAGGACCCACCAGAAAAATCAGGCATCCACTGCTTTGGTGTGTCACCCCAAACTCACAATCAGATCACACAAGAAAGGGGACCCGCGGGGGGGGGGAGCGGGGGAGCTCCACACAGAGCAGGCGGAGGAGGAAGCAGCAGGTAAGCTTCCCCCCCATCCCGCCGGTTCCCCGTCTCCTCCACTCCACCCCCGGCTCTTCCCCTCCCCCTGCCCTGGAGCACCCCCCCCTCCGGAGGCCAGGTCTCCCCACCCCTTCCCATTGCAGGGGTAGACCTGGCCTACGGAGGAGCCCAGGTCTCCCCACCCCTTCCAATTGCAGGGGTAGACCTGGACTCCCCCGGAGGAGGCCGGGTCTACCAACCCCTTTCCATTGCAGGGGTAGACCTGGACTCCCCCGGAGGCCAGGTCTACCAACCCCTTTCCATTGCAGGGGTAGACCTGGCCTCCGGAGGAGCCCAGGTCTACCAACCCCTTCCAATTGCAGGGGTAGACCTGGACTCCCCCGGCCAGGCCTCACCAATCCCCCCCCCCTTGCCTCCGAAGTGAGGTCTGCGGCTTGCAGCAATGTCCATAGAGGAGACTGGGGCCTGAGGCAGTTCATCTATAGCTAGCACCGTGCTAGCTGGAGCAGGGTCCAAGTCTTGGCCAGGTAGAGGGCAGCAACTGAGGGCGTCTGATCATGTTGCCCAGCCTGTGCTCAAAGTCATAATCATACGCGGTGAGGAAAATCGCCTACCGCAACATCCGAGGAGACAGTATGTTGGGGATTTGCCGGTCCGGGGCAAAGATCCACAACAGTGGCTTGTGGTCGGTTACTAAGAGAAATTTTCTTCCAAACAAAAAGTCATGAAATTTCTTGACTGCAGAAACTAGTGCCAGACCCTCTTTATTAATTTGTGCATAGTTTTTCTCCGCTGCAGATAGCGACCTCGAATAAAACACGACGGGGGCTTCACTGCCGTCCGGCATTAAGTGGCTGAGGACTGCCCCCACCCCGAACGGAGATGCGTCTGCCGCCAGCACTAGCAGTTTCTGTTCGTCATAGTGCGTGAGGACAGCGTTCGATGACAACAGGGCTTTGACTCCCTTGAAAGCCCGCTCGTGTTCCGAGCCCCACCTCCATAACACCATTACTTCCATTGTCATTTCTTTCCATGGTGAAAGTCCTTTTATAGCTGCATGAAAACTCAGAGGCATTTGTGGTGATTCCACTTTTTAAATTATATATGTTCAGTTTCTTTAGTATCCAGACACCAGCATGAGTGATTATTGCTTGGTGCAGTTTGTCATTAAAGTAATTCAAGAACAATTTGCTCCACTTTCTACTGAGTTTCTTTAATTTGAACATATAGTCCTGCTCAGAATCTGACCGTAGAAGGTTAAAAAAAAAAAAAAGTCTGCAAGGTACACCTTGGTATCTTCTGAAAGGGCACCATGTTTTTTCAGCCAGAACATGATATCTCTGCGGATGTGATTCCAGCATACCAGTCTGTGGCTCGTGAGCAAGACATGAACCAAAGCCTTTTCAATTCCTTTTTCTCTGTCAGTCACTATGACAACATTCTCTGAATCAAGCAATGGATACTGCTTTGATAGGTTTTCCAAAAATCTCCTATGATTGTCCTCTTGCCTGCTACCATGCATCATAAACATTACAGGAATCAGTGGTAGAACGAAGTTTGAGTCTAGTGGTACCTTTAAGACCAACAAAGTTTCATTCAAGGTATAACCTTTCATGTGTACACACACTTCTTCAGACACAATGAAATGGAAGTTACCAGTCCATATTTATAGGTAGAGGGTGGGCAGCAAATTAGCATACAGCATAATGAAGATATTTAACAGATGCAAGGACCAAACAGGAATAACAAACTTAGTTTACCATTTGTTTGGGTTTAATTCTGGGGGGAAACATAGTGAAGGAAATATATATGTCAAAATTGGAGATTGATGGGCAGATGTATCCTTAATTGTGGAAAGCTGAGAGTAATTAACTGAGACCCTGCCATTACGCCCATCCATCTTCTCTCAAGCATGGAAGTGGCATTACAGCATCTTCTTCTTTAAAGTGCGGTGACTGGCTGTGTAGACCCAGCATGGGACTGTAAATCTAATTCTCCTATAATAAATCTTAATTTTTTGAATGTAGGCTTTCTCAATTCTAAAAATTTAAAGTACATTTTATTAAGGACAGTGACTGAAATAAATGAATTGCAGAGCCTAAACAAGAGCATATTCTGAAAGGATTTTCACTTCCAAGCACATACCTGCAATTTATAACTGATTTTTCAATTCAGTATTTCCTTTCAAATGCAAATTGTGTTATTGGCCTGTTTTTGCACAGCTGAAAACAAGGAAATCAACACTTAAAAAGTCATAAGCCAAAGAATTACTAAAAATGAAAAATTAGGGAACATATGGATGCTGGGAAATTTAATTAAAATGCAAGCTATAAGTGGAAGCATAAAATAACTACAAGCAGTATTATTAAACTGATTTCATGCAGTTAGAACATGTGCTTTGAATTTATAATACACTGTTAGTTTGTCATTGTGAGAAAAAAGATTGCTAAATGCTATTAAAATGTTCTTTGATGCTCTTGATTACCTGCCTGAATTATTCCTAATTAGTTCCAATTATACTTTTTATTTTCCCCAATCCAGTGACAGCAATACACAAGTTGATCTGTTGTAGCACTTTATAAACTGCTGAAGTTCCATACAGACCTGTAATTTGGTCCTAGTATGCCACCAGGGTGGCCTGATCAGGAGTATATTGCTGGTGAGGGGGAGTTCGCTCTCCCTTGTAGTTTCCCCAGTCAAAAACTCCACCCCCTCCCACCCGGAGCTGCTTCAAACAACTGTAGAAGAATAAAAGACAGCTCCAATATGGGGAATGGTATAGGAGGGAAGAGCTGCACCCATACATATCTGGGTTGGCAGACATGAAACTCCAGCATCATATATGCTTTGGCCATGATAATCTATGTATATTGTACTAATAATTCTCTTCTATAGGGTGTCAATATATGTTGTCTTTCAAATTTAATTTACTATCATCACTGCGCTGAATTTGGATGAGTTAATAATGATACAGTTTAAAAAATAAATATATAAACCATCCTTTTTTGCTACCAAGGCCAATCTTTACTCTGACAGTGTACTTTCTATTTTGGAATCAAGCAGAATTGTTTAAAAACAGATTGCATGAAGTCTGTATTTAGATACTGCATGATTCCTTGGGAGAAAAGATAAGGCAACTAATGTGAAAAAGCCATTATTAATCTGCAGAATCTCCCCAAGGTTCATGTAATTTTAGCATAATGAAAATGCATTTTGACTCAGAAAAGTCCCAGTACAAAGGTAGTATCTCTTTTTTTAAGATTTTTTTATTTTTAACAAAAAACAAAATACAATACTGCAATTTTACATAGATGATACTCTTGCATGGATATAGACATAAGCATAGATATGAACATAGACAATCATTTATGGTCATCTATCTTTTATAACTAGTTCCCATGTAAATTACATACTATTCTATTACAATTGTTAATCAGAACTGTACTTGTATATTTACTTGTATATATTCTAAATGTTCACTTTGTTTTTTATCTGTATTCTGTCTTTTCTTCATTACTTTATACCTAACATTTCATTATTACAAATGTGTTGCCTAATTCTATCTCAACATCTTTTTAAATTCTTCCGAAACTTTTTCCAGATTTATTTTATCCAAATAGGTTATTTTATCTTATTTTTATCTATTGTTTTTCTTGCAAAAAGATTTGCATAGTATTTAAAAAAAACTCTTTTGATTCCGTTCATACCCACAATTTCTTTTCCCCCATCTATTATTTTGTTTATAATTTTATTCTCCCGTCTCTTTTTCAGTTGCCAAGCCAAAAATTTTCCTGGTTTATTTGCCCCCTCAAACGACTTCTGTTGGAGTCTCTTCAAATTCCAATATATTTCCTGATTTAATAAGGTATTTAATTGCTCCAGTAAAATTTAATTTCCCTC